ACGTGTGGTGCATTACTTAAACTACTATGCCACTGGTTCCAATCAGCATTTACGACAAAGTTAAAAATGCAAATCAAAACATAACTCGTAAAAGCAAGGAACGCACTCCTTCTGACAGACCCGTTACTACGATTTTTTGGATTTGTCTTACGTTTAATTCAGACAAATCCTTCTGAAAGGCTAAAATACATCCACGGAATGCTCACCCGTAAGAAATTCCCGAAGTTTGACGTCCACTGCATCCTACCACTACAGCTACGCAATCCCATATGGGAACATCTTTCATGGCGGTACATCTCTACGCCCTTTTGCTATTTTACCCGCCTGACCGCTATCAGTGGGTCTATCTCAAGTTTACTGGGTAGTTCTCTCCACCAGACAGGGTCCCCGAAGGGGTCCAAACTAGCTTGCCTTGAGACTATTCTAAATGTATACCAGTCCAATAATCGTGTTCAAGTCCTACTCTTCCTATCTAGCTGCTGAAATACTTCTAAAGCCCCCCCAGACAAGAGGAAAGTAACATAAACCCTGAGCTTTTAAATGATTAACCTCTATTTGACAAGAAAAAAATATTCATATCCTTTATCCGTTACTGGGTTGTAAGGCATGACAAATATTTCTGACTACACTGTAGGTCAGTATCAAACACAAACACCTTAACTTGCCTGCAATGCAAATACTCAGCGTAACTAAAGCCTCAGTGGACACATCATTACATATTTAGACGTGTCTGAGTTTAGGTAACAACGCAAAGTGATTGACAGACTGCCAACCCAGCAGTTCAATGAATGTTTCTCCCTCTCCCACTGAATGATGAATTGTAGTCCTCCCCGTTTGCAAAGCAGTTCTCTTCAGGCCATTTAAATTATTTCGTTCTCCCTCTCGACGTATCTGGGAAAACTAAGACAATTCACTCGCGAATTGTAAACCACGGTAATCCTGAGAGTTTAGTTAAATAGACGGCATGTAAGGAGGGAAAGAAGCGTTGGAAATCAAACCGTGGTCTATGACTAAGTTCATTGGACTGGGCGAAACAGTGGCATACATAGTGATTTCCTTTTCTAGCAACCTATGACTGAGAGGCTTCAGCGCAAAACTTTATCTAGTGCTGAAGCAAAAACACAAGTTTTCTGCTTGTTTTTTTTTCAGTTCAGTCTAGACGACAATTTAGACAATAATTACACGTAATTGGCACTTGAAACAAGCCGGCAACTAAAAATGATTACACTGCCGCAAATGGAAGAGCCTACTTTGTTAAATGTGAACAACCCTTATCAGTGTTCGCCCTAAGAGTAGAATTTCAAACGGACCACGCAATCTGAGCGGGAGCAGTCAGGTTCCAAAAGTTTCGCCGGGATTGGTGAGTCCGTTCGGACTTCTACTGTCAAGAAAAATACCAATAAGGAGTGTTCACATGTAACGAAATAAACTTTTCCACTAATTTCAAGGTAGTCCCTGAGTAGGTTTGTGGGTCGCCCGATTGTTTCACCTGTCAGTAAAATCCCATTTTGTTTTAAAATGCCGCCTAGACAGTTACATTTAACAAAGGCTTCCTTTAGTCCGCAGATTTTTTGCCTTTAAGCACAGTGTAGTGCTCTTTATCTGTAAAAGGTCTTGAACCAACTCCGTAATGCTGAGATCTGCAAGGTGGGCCGCAGTTCTACCGTCTACGTTGTTATCCCCGGAGAAGGTGCGACGTTTGAATTAGTTTACAGTGAGGCAGACGTGTACAACATCGGCAACACATTATCCTCCCACCTACGCACGCTACACATACACCACGCAGTATCCGTGCGATGTAACAAGTTTTAACAAAAATGGATTTCTTCTAAGAAGGGTTGAGATAAAAAAGATTACGAAGTCTACTTTTCGGTCGTCCTACATACACGCATACAGTGTAAACACATTTTGCCGTTTGTTGGCAACTTCCCAAGCCGTGACTTATATATAAGATGGTCTACCGCATTAAATGTCAACTGAGTTTCAGAAATTTGTTTTCGATTCAAAGGAGTCACGTAAATAGGGTTTTAATACTAATCATCCTGCAGCACGATATTTCGTCCACGTGAAGATGTCGAATACGAACGAACTACTTGCTAAGGGCCTGCAAAAATGAATCTGGATAAAAAATATCTACTTAATTAATATGTACTTTTCCCATTTATTTTTGACGTCCTTATAAGTTCAATTGTTTTGTAAAACATTACACATCCTTCAAATGTTATACTTGAAGGAAGGGTATCTTTCGGTTATAGAAAAGTTTCTCATGGTGAGCCTTCATAAGATCGTGAAATGCTCATTCATAATACGTCGTTTTCGTGAACTTATTAATGTTTTCTATACAGCATACAACGATCTACATCCTTTGCAAGATTTTATGAGAACCGTAGAGTTTCTTCTGTATAACATGCGTGATATTCCTTAGCTAGAATGTATACAGCATGTACGTTTTAAACCCTAAATTAGACTGTAACTGCCGTAAGGCTTCAAGATTATTCGGCTATTTAAAAGAAATTTTAAAATAAATACATGCCCTTTCTTTTCGTATGAAATGAAGATGTCTTTTCTGCCGCATAAGTGCAAGAGATAATATTTTGTGCATGCTTTCTTTAGTATATATTACAGTTTACGAAGGCACCAAAAATAAATATAAAATAAGCATATTACTTAAGTAACCTTTTTTACAGAGTATAATGTTTGACGGCGGTCAGGAAGAAGTTCGTTCAGAAGCCAGCATCCCGGCGTGACTGAACTACCTTGGAATTATGCTATATGATACTTAAATTTTAAAACCAACGCAAGTAATTTGTTTGGATCGAAAACACATGTAGAGGTTCTGGTGATATTTCATGATAAAGAGAATTCACTGTATCTCACTTTGATAGATTCAGACGCGTAAGATTTGTCAGACATAGTAAGGAGTGTGCTTGTGGGCCATTACGATAGACTCTACGGTGTCACATTTAGTCTATTTACTGAGCCTGTCAACCAGCTCATGTTTGACGAAGTTAGAATAACCCATCTACTTGCACCACACTTTGTTAGCGTACAGTAACATCAATTATTGATTTTTTGGAGTGCTTGTTCATTGGC